TGCCGTCGGCACGGATGGTCTCGTTTTCTGGTTTTGGGCTGCAGGCTCTTGTCCCCGCACCTCCCGCCCAGGTTTGGGGGCGAGTCTACGCCCCTTATCTTGAAGTAAACACATCCACGTTCCGTGCTGTCTTCTTGGGGAACTCCTGGAAAGATGGGGGAGCCTTCCCAAGGAGAGACTTGGTGCCCACAGGGGCTGCCTGGGGCTGGAGGTGCCCAGGGAGGGCCCGAGGCCATGAGGATGGAGAGGAGGGGCCAGGAGAGGACGGGGTGCGGTTTGCAGGGAACTGTGGGAAGCAGACCCACCCAGTGGAGCAAGCGCTGGGAGACGGGGGTCCCATCCACCGTCCGACAAGCCAGCTGAGGACATAGGTGGCCCTGCCCCGTCTAGGGAGCCACGGAGACTGTGGGTGACCCTGAAGCCCGTTTTGCCTGATCTCTTGCCCCCCCCCCCCCCACCAATAACCACCCTCTCCCCCTCCCTGCTGTCCCCAACCCAGCCCTTGCTTTGACTCCACCGTGGCCACCGCCCCGGGTACTCCCAGCCATGAGGGCCGGAGTGAGTGGGCCCTGTCTTTGCTGGGACAGCCCAGGAGGCCCCTGAAGGAGAGTCTGGGTACAGCCAGCCACGGACCCCACGTGCCCCGGCCAAGGGGGACCTGGCCCACCCCTAGGAGTACATGGAGGGGAAGCGAGATGAAGGGAAAGAGGCAAGTAAGTGAGAGAGGCACCTCGCCCCTCCAAGCCTCTCCCCCTCGGCCCCCAGGACTGGGCGGGGCTGGGGCGGGGCTGAGGGTGCCTGCCTCTTGCTGCCCAGCTCTGGGGCTGGATTGCCCCCAGACTGGCCTCGGACCCTCAGGTGGAGGCCACCCCCATTGGAGAGTGGGTGCCCTCAAGGTGGTCGCAGATGCCACGGCACGTTGCTCTGGAGAGAGCGGGCCCGACCCACCCAAGCACAGCCTGCCCCCCGCAGCCTCAGAACCGCCTCTGGAAAGACTTCTGCGTCCTTGGTGGGCCAAGAATTATTCTAGATCAACAGGGAAAGAAGACAGCTGACTCATCCCACAGAGACAGCTGGCCCGACGTCCAAATGGGTGGTGACGAGGGCACATTGCAGCACCTTGAAATAGTAGAGACTTGGACGTGATGTCTGGGTGCACGGGGCTGGCTCTCGGGCACAGAGATGCTGGCGGTGATCTTCTAGAAAGATGTGGGTCCGGAGCGGCAGCTCCCATCCCTCCCCGCACCCCAGACCCCCCTTCCTGGCCTCCTTGAAAACATACCTGGCTTGGCTCTCGGCCATCTGTGCCAGACTCGACCGGGAGGGAGCGATGATCCTCGCTTCCAGCCCTGCCCCCAAGGAACCCCAGGGCAGGAGGAGATGCGACTCCCCCTGTGACACAGTGACAGCCACCTTACTGACAGCTCTCATCTCCTTGGATGAACTGCCAGCAGTTTCTAGGAGCAAGGTCTCCTGATAGAAGCGACCAGGTCCCCGCAGGACTGGGAGACCATCCCCCTCGCACCCCACCCCCAGAAGGAGCAGGCAGCTGCCAGTTCCCTCCTGGAGTGCGGGGCTCTTGTCCTGGACGGTTGTAGGAGGGTTAGGGGACCGAGGAGGGGGGTGGGGAGTGCAAGGGCCACGTTCTGTTCACCCCCCCGGAGAAAGGGTCCGATTCCCACAGAAGAACCACCACCGCCCTGGTTCCAGGGCATCCACCCCAACAGCCCCCTCCCCAACTCCACGCTGTGTGCTGAGCGGAGAGGGCGGGACCAATGCGGGACACAGGGGGACTGTGGTGGCCACCTGAGCTGAGGTCACGGCCCTGACACTCGGCTGGGGGCAGTGTGTCTGCCCGGGAGGGACTCCCTGTCCCCTGTCCCCTGTCCCTGTCACTGGAGGAGAGCCTCAGACCACTCATAGTCCCATCAAGGCATCTCACTAGCAGAGTGATGTCCCTTGCTGTGCCCTCTGCTGACAGCCTCTCCCCGTCAGTAAAGAGGGGCAGTAACGTTGACCCCACCGGACCATCAGGTTTTTGTTTTTATCGCTGGTTAGTTCGAATACAGGGCAATGTTGGTTTGGGGAGTGGAAGTCGGTGACTCATCGCTTGCATGCAACACCGGGTGCTCATCCAGACAAGTGTCCCCGTTAGTGCCCATCCCCCACCCACCTCCCTCGTCACCCTCACTCTGTTCTCTTTGAGAGTCTCCCTCCTCTGCTGCGTTTCCCTCTCGTCTCCCCCCTCCCCCACTCCTCACATGTTCATCTGTTTCGTTTCTTAAATTCCACGCGTGAGTGAAATCGTATGGCACTTGTCTTTGTCTGCGGACCGTCAGGTTTTGAACACGGGCTTGGAGAGTCGGTGTGCCCCCCCAAAGCTGCCCGCTCGTGTACCACCCGGGGGCCCAGCATCTAGACAATGACTTCAATATTGTTCACGAGTCGGAATCACTTTCAAATTTTAAACCGGTCTGTTTTGAAAAGGAAACGTGTGTCACCGCTGGGCGTGAAAACTCAGTATGGGTGACCCCGGAGAGAGCCGCGAGCCAAGACGCGCTGGCTTCGCCCCTTCCAGACCCGCCGAGCACACACACAGCCGTCTGGACCCTTTCAAAGTTCTGTGTCTGACGTTTTACAACCAGACCTCAGGACCGTTCGGCCCGAGGTCTCTGTTGTCACGTGGCTGTCAGAGGCTACGTGACCTCCGGCTCCTGGAAATGACCTTCAAGGCCGTCGAAAAGAGCACACAGTGCCAAGAGTGGGTACCCAGGACTTGGGGGTCACGCCGCAGTGCAGCCAGTTCCCATGGGCCGGGCCTGGGGTCCCGAGGGGCACGAGTGCCTGCTGGTGTGCGGGCTCAGCTGGGCGGTGATGTCCCCCAAACTCATATTTTTTCCGGCTGTGCAGCAGAATAAATAGTAAACTAAACTCTGACATTGCAACACAGAGGCTGGCGGAGGGCTGATAAGGTGGGAAAGGCCCCGGGGAAAAAACGTCTCGAAGGAAGAACTGTCCCGCCCTTAGCAAACATAGCAAGGGAAACCCACACTGGTCGAGACCAGTGGTTATCCGATCAGGAACAGAACGTGTGTCCGATCTCAGGTGCCTTCAGAGGGAACCTAGGTCGTGCTCACGTGGGGGCGACGCTGGGCCCCAAAGCTTCACGCAGCCATCACCTGCTCCGGTGTCCAACGTTGGGGGGAGGGGGGGATTTGGGCGGTGAGACCTGGCAGGGGGCACCCAGAGCTGGGCTGTTGTCCGAGTTCTTCCACGGACCCTGGACACGATGCTCCTCCGTGGGCCTCAGCACCTGACAGGTCGAAGGTGCGGGGTCCCGTGGGGGTCCCTGCCGTCCCCCACGGCGCAGCTGTTCAGGTGCAAATGCAGGGCCGGCGGCTGGAGCCCACGGAGGCGGCCAACACAGCTCGACATTCGTGGTTTCCCAGAAACTGTGACAACCCAGAGAGTATTTAGTTCCAAAACTCCGGGACGTAGGTATTTCTATTTTCGTACTGCCCAGGCAAGCCCCCGGGGACCGGATGAGTGGCTGGCACAGCCCGGGTCCCCGGCTGCACCCTGGGGCGGGATCTGAGCGCGGTGCCTGACCTCTTGCACAGGCAAGCACGTCCGTGACACAGGCGAGCGTGAAGCGTGACACAGGGACACGCGTGGTGCTTCCCAACGGCTGGGATTCCTGCTTCCGTGTTCTACTAGCTCTGAGGGGGAGTCTTCGGCCACAGGCCCCTCCCTTGCTCAGAAATCTGCAGCCCCCTGGCCAGGCGGGAACGTGCCCTAAAGAAGCCAACGAACCGAACCCCGAATCCTTAGCCACACGGATGTCTGCTGCTTTGCTCTGAAAATTTAGAGAAGAGACAAGGGCCCCCTGATCCAGCATTTGGGTAGAGAAGGGACAGTGGACTCACGAAACAGTGCTCCCTTGCCTAGTGCTGTGCGTACACATCGGAACGGCCTTTAACAGAAGCCTGTGGGGACACCCGTGCTTCAGAATTTTATCTGCGCACACCTTCTGAGCCAGCAGCCGGCTGTGGGCATGCGCCTGGGGGGTCCCCCCCAAATGTACTGAGACACCCAGCATTATCATCTACGGCGTTCGGCAGCTCTCGGGGCCATCGGCGCATGCGCTGTGTCTGGCTGAGTCCCGTACGTGACCGTGTGGGAGCCCCTGTGTGCGCACAAGGACAGGGCGTGCCCCTCGGACCGATTCGGTCTTCCCTGAACTGCAGACCAGGAAATGGTGGCACAGGACCCTTCCACCAGCGCCAGACAGGCCGTGGCCAGAGCCACCCGGGGCCCTCGGGATTCCGCAGCCGGCATGCCACGTAAGTGACACTCTGCACAGGTGCCTTGGGCGGAGGTCAGAGGTGGCTCTGGGTCTGGGCCTGAGTGGGGATGTTTCTCAGTCGCCGAGAACCAGCAGGACGCGTGACCGGGGACGGGGTGAGGACAGCCCAGCACCAGCCCAGGGATCACGCAGACTCCGGCCAGGTGACTCCTCCCCCCAGGCCCACGGAGCGGCGCCCCCCCCCCCCACACCGGGGATTTCTTCTTTGGCCCAATTCTATTTCCAACAGTTCTTTTTCTTCTCAGGTTCCTGACCCGTTTCCCTGTTTTAACGCCCACTTGCCCTCCTCTTGCCTCACTGTTTCTGAGCCACCGCCACCCTCTCTGTCCATCATCCATCACTCGTGTTCTCTTGGCCCCCAACTGGACGCGACGCTCTCAAAGTCTGTTCCCAGCTGTTGGGGCAAGACCTCCCTTCCCCGCCTTCCTGGGTCCTGGTCCCCCGCCGCCCGCTTCTCGGTCTACTCCTTTGTTCTGTCCTTGCGGCTACTGGCCGGCTGTGTAGGGCGTTCTAGGTGGGAAGATGCCCCCACTCGGACTCTGGGCCATCACACCTCCGTCCTCAGACATCGAGTGGCTGACGACATGCCTGCCGGGCACCTCGGGGGGGGGGGGGGGGCGCTGTGGTGCAGGCCCTCCAGGGCCTGGGGTGGGGGCAGGACTTACATGCCGACTTCTCCAAGGCCAGGTTCAGTCACAAGACAGCCAAGTGACAGGCTGGACAGGGCTCTCGGTGCCGTAAAACTCATCTCACCTGGAGATTCCTCCAGAGTTTCCTGCTTTAGAATTGCTTTTTTTTTTTTTTTTTTTTTTTTTATTGCTTTCTGGAATAAACTTCCTATGTTCCCAGAAGCAGGTAGGGCACCTGGCGACGGCAGTGACTCCCTTAGAAAGATCCACGGCTGCGGACGGTCGGCGTGGTGCGGGCGGCCGAGGTAGTGACACAATCCTCCGTCCAGCAAGCCTGCCTGTGACGTCCAGATTGTGAACGTGTGCGACAACCAACGACTGTCCGGAACTCGCAGCCATTAGGAAGGAGCCCCCGAAGTCCCGAGCCGTTGTCGGAAGCAGGACACACGCATGTCCCGAGTCCGTGTGCCCACAGCACAAACAAAGCCGTGAACACGCACCGAATGGGTACACGTTCCTCTGAACAATATGGCGTCATGATGTCTGAGATGTTGGTTCGGGGTGATGGCCCTGTGGTTCTCCCTGTCCCCGGTACTCCCCAAATGTGGGCTGAGGGCACGCCCCGGCTATGCATCAGGACTCTCTGGGCACCCTCTGTTGGTGATGATGGGGACCGGGTGCCAGGCCAGGGCGGACATGGGGAGGGACAGTGAGGACATCTCTCCCCCCTCAGGTGTCCCAAAGGGAACATGGTCCCCAGAAACGCAACGTGACAGCAGACATGATGCAGCTTTGCTGGTGCCGGTAAGAGAGGGTTTCTTTTTCAGTTATCTTATTTTGTGTTTTTTTATTTATTTGTTTTAAGAGAGAGAGAGAGGGGCGCCTGGGTGGCGCAGTCGGTTAAGCGTCCGACTTCAGCCAGGTCATGATCTCGCGGTCCGTGAGTTCGAGCCCCGCGTCGGGCTCTGGGCTGATGGCTCAGAGCCTGGAGCCTGTTTCCGATTCTGTGTCTCCCTCTCTCCCTGCCCCTCCCCCGTTCATGCTCTGTCTCTCTCTGTCCCAAAAATAAATAAACGTTGAAAAAAAAAAAAATTAAAAAAAAAATAAAATAAAATAAAAAAAAAAAGAGAGAGAGAGAGAGTTTGCAAGAGCTAGTTGGGGGGGAGCAGAGGGAAACAGAGAATCCCAAGCAGGCTCCTCCCTGAGCCTGATGCAGGGCTCGATCCCCTGAACCGTGAGGTCATGACCTGAGTCGAAATCAAGAGCCAGACCCTCAACCTACCGAGCCACCCAGGTGCCTCTTACCTCTTTTTAAAATAAGTATACTTTTTACTAAGATGAAATTCACATAATATAAAATTAACCATTTTAAAGCAAACAATTTAGGGGCGCCTGGGTGGCTCAATCGGGTAAGCGTCCGACTTCGGCTCAGGTCATGATCTCAAGGTTCGTGGGTTCGAGCCCCGCGTCGGGCTCTGGGCTGACAGCTCGGAGCCTGGAGCCTGCTTCGGGTTCTGTGTCTCCCTCTCGCTGCCCCTCCCCCTCTCGTACTCTGTCTCTCTCAAAGATAAATGAGCATTAAAAAAAATTAATTTAAAAAAATGTAAATAATGAATATCAAAACCTTAAAGTTTCAAAAAATATATTGGAAAACATATCTATAAACTTGGGTAAGGAAAGATTTCTTAAATGAGACATATAATTTCAACTACATTAAAATTCAAAACTCCTTTTTTTTTTTTTTTTAGAGGTTCTTGAAGCCTGGCTCCTGGGGTTTCACCCTGAGGACAGAAAGAATCCCTAAAATTCAAAACTTCTAAATAGCCAAAAGATAATAAAAGGGCCTATATACCGTTAACATGAGTTACGGACCAGGGGCACCATTGTGCATGTGTGTGACTAACAAAAGTTATATGGGTTTTTTTGGTGTTTTAGATACAGAAACCTTTGCATAAATATACACACACATACACACACACACACACACACACACACATTTTCCCATGTGAGCTGCTTTTGAATTGTCTGCTTTTCATTAGGGTTTCCTACTGTTTTCTTCATTTTTTTCAGATTTCGATAATCTCTTGTCATTTTAGACGTTGTACAAATTCTCTTCTGTGAAGTTTGGTCTGTGTAACTTCAACAGCAAACTGGCCAGAAGGCTCTGGACACCCAGTATTGCCTGCTTCCACTCAGGACAGTAGAGTGACAGAGTTAGCCCCGTCTAGAATTAAAGTGGTGCCTGGGTGGCTCAGTCAGCTGAGCGTCAGTGGCTCAGTCTTGATTTCAGCTCAGGTCATGATCTCTTGGTTCGTGGGATCGAGCCCCGCATCCGGCTCTGTGCTGACAGCACAGAGCCTGCTTGGGATTCTGTCTCTCTCTCTCTCTCTCAAAATAATAAATAAACATTTAAAAAACTTTTTAAAAATAAAGCTTCATTTTTATTTTAGCACACGAATGTTGCCTCTATTCTATGATACATTCGTTTCTGGAAGAAGAGAGGTTACCTGTTGTCTTTTTTTTTTTTTTTTTTTTTGATGTTTTATTTATTTTTGAGAGCAAGAGAGACAGAGCATGAGCAGGGGAGGGGCAGAGAGAGAGAGAGGGAGACACAGAATCCGAAGCGGGATCCAGGCTCCGAGCTGTCAGCACAGAGCCCGACGCGGGGCTCGAACTCACAGACTGTGAGATCGTGACCTGAGCTGAAGTCGGACGCCCAACCGACTGAGCCTCCCAGGCGCCCCTTTGATGAAGTAGGTGAGAAGGGCGGCTGGCCCAGGGGCCTGGTGGGCACGCCTCAGCAGGCATTACAGTGCCCACATGCAGAGCAGGGCCTCTGACCCCTGACCCCTACTCGGTCCTCGGGGCCAGGTGCTATCATGCCTGCTTCACTGATGGCCAAACCAGGCTGCGGAAGTTTAAGTCACTTAACCAAGTTTGTCAGATTAGATGAGGCCGTACCCTGGGAACACGCTCGGCTCTCTGGTGGGTTCCGGGATTCCTCTGCCCCAGGTGGTGACGTGGGCATCCAGGGGGACAGCGAGGCAGAGTCCGGGACCCCCACCGCTCTTGTGTACCTCGGACCAGGAGTGACAGTCGTCCCTCCCGCTGGCTCCTTTCGGCCTGAGCTCATCCTGATCCCCCCCCGCCCACCCACCCCCCCGCCCCCCCCGCCCAGTACCTATGATTGTGACTTTATTTGGGAACAGAATGGTCTTTGCAGAGGACCGAGTTAAGGTGAGGTCGCTAGGGCGGTCCCTAACGCAACATGACCGATGTCCTCCTCAAAAAGGGGGAAACTTGGGCACAGAGACAGACACACTTACAGGGATGCCCGTGTGAAGACACAGGGAGGAGACGGCCGTCTGCACACCAAGGGACGCCTGAGGTCACCAGCAGCAGGGGGACAGGCCTCGCACAGACTGTCCTCCCCAGCCCCAGGAGGGGCCAGCCCTGCCGGCATCCAGCCTCCAGGACTAAAAGCATCAGTGTCTGTTGTGTGGTGGACCCAACCTGAGGAGCTTTGTTCTGGGACCCTCAGGAAACTGACACGTTCACCAAATATGCTGGATGCATTTTGGGGGTGTCGATCGCCGTGGCCACCACAGAAGACTGTATGGCTGTTCATCAAAAAGTTAAAAAAGAGGAACCAGTTATTCCTTTGGTCCAGTAATTCATTCCTGGACACATGTCCAAAGGAAACAAAATCATGCTAAGAGATCCGTGCATTCCCGTGTTCTCGGCAGGATCGTTCCTAATAGGCAGGACGTGGGAACAGCCTAAGAGTCCGTCCACAAATGGGTAAAGAAATCGTGGTGTGCTTACAACAGACATTATTCCACTGTAAAAGGAAGAATGGCCAGCCGTTGACGACCCCGTGGCCAGATTCTGAGGGCATCGTAGTAAGTGAATAAGTCACACAGAGGAAGACCCATGTCCCAGAAACCGCTCTACCCAGGACAAGCCAGGATGGTTGGTGTATTCATTTCCTGGGGCTTCCAGAATAAATGGCCAGAAATAGGCTGAATGAAACTGCAGAGATTTGTTCTCTCCATTCTGGAGTTTCTGGAGGGAAATCCCTCCTGCCTCCGCCAGCTTCTGGGGGCTCCGGGCATCCCTGGACGTGTGGCTTCACCCCTTCTAGCCTCCGCCTCTGTCTCCACCTGCCCTACGTGCGTCCAGTTTCTGTGTCACTCTTGCAAAGACGCCTGTCAGTGGATTTGGGGACCACTCTAAATCCAAGACGATCTCATCTGAAGATCCTTAATTATATCTGCACAGACCTCTTTCCAACTAAGGTCACGTTCACAGGTTGTGGGTACAAGGGCACAAATCTAGCTTCCTGGGGGTCAGCAGACAAGGTGTCTGGGTTGCTACACGTCCGGTCTCTGGGTTCTGTGTTGTTCTGACTTAATTTGTGAAAAAAATAAAGCATTTTCAAAAAAAGGGGGGGCAGGACAGCCACCTCCCTCGAGGCCAGAACTTTTGGGGAAACCTCAGGCCCGCGGGCGTGTGCATTCCGCGTCCCGCAACCCGGTCGCTAGGTCACCAGCTGGGGGCAGCTGAGGGGCGTGCAGCCGCCTCTGTCTGAATCCCACCCTCCCGGCTCCTCGGGCACCTGCCGTCCGGCATCCCGGCTGCCTGTGCTCTGGCGGCCATCTTGCCAGATGCTCCCCCCGCGCCGTGGCGAGGCTCCCCCACACGTCGCCTTGGCCTTCACCGCTGCCCCCACCAACACCGGCAAAAAAAAAAGGCCACTTGTTCTGAAGTCATTTTGAGACAGGACGTTTTGAAGGCTGGTTTCTCCAGAGACCTTCCAATAAAAGCGAAATTGGGAGAAAACACCGAGGACCTGCTCGACCTGCCCGCCCTGAATTAGCCGGCGCGCCCCAGCAGGACTTTTCGTGGGTGCAGGGGAGTCGGCACCATGACCAGGGAGGAGCGTGACAGAGGCGGTGACGGCTTTAGAAAATGTTAACACGGAAGCTCCCGCTACGTGTTCAAACAATCCGCCGCCCTCCTCGACGCTGCGCAAGATACGCAGCGCGTCCACGGGCTCCATCCAAGCTGTTTCGTGTGCGCGCTGAGGCCATCATCAGCTGCGCGGGAAAGGTCGAGAGACCTGCAGGGTGGTCCGCAGCCCTGCCCGGCTGATGATCCGGAGTTTCTGAATCTGAGACGCTGGGCCCGGCCGGAAGCCGCAGCTCCTTGGCTCTGAAGAACGAGGACGTCTGCCCGCGGTGCCACCGAATGAGAATGCGGCTCCCCAGGCCCAGCGGGACCGCCCGCACTGACCGCACGTCCCCCCTTCGGGGTGCGCTGGGGCTCTCTCTGCTCCCTGCCTTCGATCCTTGTGGCTGCGTTCGAATATGACCGCTTTTCCCTACACGTTTCGTGTGGTTGAATGCTTTCCACCAACCTCAATAAGACCTAAAAACATTAGGAATGGTAGTAAGTGAAGGCGTGCATCCCTCCCCGATGCAGGCCGGTGAGTTTGGGGATGGGCCCATCCCCAGGCCGGCCTCTGACCGGATGCCAGCCCCGACCAACGCCCTGCTTTCTGTCTGTGGGAGGCTGGGCAGAAGAGCCAGCAAGGTCACGGGCAGATGAACTGCTGACCCACAGACACCACGGACGGTAAATGCGTGCGCTTTAAGAGGTGAGGTTTGCAGGCGCACGTTACACGGCACGACATCGCTAGTCTAGAAAGTGGCTGGCCTCAAGGCGTCTTGGGGGGACCCAGCCCAGGGGAGCGGTCCAGCCACAGGAAGACCCAGGCCGAGGGCCCCGAGAGGGGTTTCTGCAGACCCCACGTCCACACTCGTAGCCAGTGCCAGCTGAGAGGGAGCGGCTCCCAGGATGGGGGACCCTCCTCCCCCTGCACCCTCCGTCCCTCCCTGCCTGACCCTGGAAGAACCGAAAGGCAGGAGAGAGCCAAGAAATGCCCCCCGCGCCCACTGCAGGATCCCAGATGGGCTCTGGGAGAATCACTGGATAGGGTATGGATTGAAATTCTGAGCCTGGACTGGATGGAACTTGTAATTATTTTTTTAATTTAATGTTTTTATTTCTTTTGAGAAAGAGAGACAGAGACAGAGCACGAGCAGGGGAGGGGCAGAGAGAGAGGGAGACACAGAATCCGAAGCAGGTTCCAGGCTCCGGGCTGTCAGCACAGAGCCCGACGTGGGGCTCGAACCCACGAACTGTGAGATCATGAGCCGAAGTCGGAGGCTCAACCGACTGAGCCACCCAGGCGCCCCTAAAGACTTTTTTTTAAAGTTTATTTACTTTGAGAGAGAGAGAGCGAGCTGGGGAGGGGCAGAGAGAGGGAGAGAGAGAGAGAGAGAGAGAGAGAGAGAGAATCCTAAGCAGGCTCCACACCGCCAGCTTGGAGCCCGATGCGGGGCTCAAACTCACAAACCGTGACATCATGACATGAACCGAAACCTAGAGTCGGACGCTTAACCGACTGAGCCATCACCCCTAAGACTTTCATCGTGAGAGGTGGTTTTTTTTTTTTCAAGAGATAAGGGAAAAAATTTTTAAGCCTGATGCTTTAGTTCAAACCTTAATTTAACCTGTGCAGAAAACACCATCATCAACTCACACTCATTCTGTGGTCTGCAAAGCGGAAACTGTGGTTATCTAGTTACACATACCCTGAACGGGGGTTCAGAGCCACCATGAGATAGGAAGCCTGAAGGACTCCATAAAAATCTGCGTTTTGCTCCGTGTCCTGTTTCTATTCTTGCCAAGACCTGACCCCCACTTTACGCATGCTTCCTAGTGCAAAGCGTGTGTGTCCCTCCCCGCCCCCATAAGGGACACGGAATTCACGGTTTCTTTAGAATCCGTCAGAACGAGAGACAACATCAGAGAAGCTCTGGGCGAGACGTGAAGGCATCATATGCACATCCAGACCACCAGCGTCAGGCATCGTGATGCCCAGACCCCGGGCTCCAAGGAATGGGTTTATGAAGGACGCCTGGACCCTCGTGTCCGTTCTGACCGGCTCCTGGGAGGACTGGCACACCGGACCCTAACTCTCAGTAAAACCCCAAGCCCTGAGCCAAGAAGAGACTCCCTCCCTTCCTTCCTGAACCTCCCGGGCCCCGTCTACCTGCACTCTCCCTATACCTTCAATAAATTCAATTAATACCTCCTGCTGGCTCGTGTTTGATTGCTATGCCGTGAGGTGGCAGGGCCCCTCTTGTGGACTCCCTCTGGGTCCTCGGACCCTGCCTGCCCGCATCAACCAAATCTGACTCCAAGTGGGAAACGTCAAGGTCGCCCCCTCCCCCCGCCGCCGTCTGCCCACTCTGACAAGCAGGTCCCTGGCAGCTTGAGCCGAAGATCGTGCTTAATTCTTTGAGGACCATCCCTATATTGTATGACTGAAAATAATGTAATTGTTGTACGGTAACCATACTGGAATTAAAATAACATGAAATAAAATAATAAAAGGTGGGGAGGGGCGCCTGGGTGGCTCAGTCGGTTAAGCCTCCGACTCTTGATTTTGGCTCAGGTCACCATCTCAGGGCTCGTAGTTGGAGTGAGCTGCTCTGTGCTGACAGCGCGGAGCCTGCTCGAGATTCTCTCTCTCTCTCTCTCTGCCCCTCCCTCATACTCTCTCTTCTCAATAAATAAGCTTAAAAACAACAAAAAAAGCGGGGGACAGGTGTGCTGTTCTCCCCCGCCCGCCCCCCCCCCCCCCCCCCGCCTTTGCTGGAGCTTACCCGGACATTAGCCTTCTTTCGGAGGAAGCAAGCCCATTTCCCCAGGGGTCTCTGGAACTTTCCAGCCTGACTGACTCTGACTCCTCTTAGGGTTCTTAGGAGCCAGGAGCCGGGAGGGATTTCCTCAGGGTGAGCAATGCTTTTCAGGCCTTCAAGTTAGGTCTGATTTATTCAAGTGCCTGTGGGCCCTTCTGGGAGAGGGTCCCCCACCCCCACCCCCGCCACCTGCATGGGCATCCTGGGAAGTCCCCACCCGGTTCACCTAGGTCCCTACGTCCCCCTCCCATCCCTGCCTCATGGAGGAGCACCCCCAAAAGCAGGCCGCACTAGCGGCTTCACTCCTGGGCGTGATGGTCCCACTATACCGAGCGCCACAAATCACTATGGTGTGAGACAGGACAGTCAGTGCAATCAGGCTTCAGTCCCGAATTTGTTTATTACTTCTAGAGGGTTGTTTCTCATTTAGTGGAATCTCCAGGATTTTCTGCAGTTAAGAGGATGTCCTGTGAAGAGACTTCACTTCTTCGTGTACCGTTTGGATGGACTTTTTGCTTTTTTTTCCTCTTGCCCACTCATTCTGGTTACTATTTGGCCTTTTAAACAGGGAGTGGCACATTTGATGGTCCTTTAAAGGAGGGGAGAGGAGACAGAGACCCACGTGGCAGACCCAGAAGTGGGGAGCTCAGACCCCAAAGTGTGGCTTAGTGATGTCTCTGTATGAGTCTCCTGTGACCTGAGGCTTCGGCTCAGAACCGAGTATGTATTCGAGGAAGAAACCTGATTTATTATGACAGAAAAATGCTAACGCATGTTGAAGGGCTGAATCTCGCGGAAGTCTCTGTTCTCAGTCTGAGTAAGCCCCGGGTGAGCCTTGAGCAGGTGCATCAAGACTGTAGCTCGTCGAGCCACATCCCACTTCCTGAAGCTGGTGCTCGGGTGAAAGTCTGCCTTTTGGTCTCCTGCTCGGTCGGTCTGCGTGGTGAACAGGTAGGGCTGGGTCCTATACTGCCGCCTGTCTGTTTGGGTTTTCTTTTTTTTTAGTGACTTGTCTTGTGCTAAAATGCACGTAACAAAATCTCCCATCTTGACCAGCACGAAATGCACAATTCTGCAGTGTTAAGTATGTGCCTATCGTTGTACGCCCATCCCCCCCGCTTCCGGAACTTTCCGCCTTCCCAACCTGAAACTCTGTCCCATGAAACACCGCCCCCCGTCCTGTCGCAGCCCCTGGCGCCCCACGTCCTACTTTCTGTCTTTATGGACTGGCTTCCTCTGGGCCCTCACAGAGCCGGAATCATACAATATCTGTCCCTGTGGTGACCGGCTGCCTCGCTCAGCATCATGCCCTCGAACTTCAGCCACATGGTAGCAGCTGTCAGAGTTCCCTTCCCTGTTAAGGTTGAGTCACATACCACGGTGTGGATGGACTCCGGGTCATCCATACATCCCTCGACGGACTCTCCGATTACTTCCGTTATTACTTCGTGAATAACGCTGCGGTGAGCACGGTGTGCAAATATTTCCTCAAGGTCCCGCTTTCGAGTTTTTGGCATCGCGAGCGGAATGAGAAGCAGCATTGCCAGGGCAGGCCCTACCAGGACCCTCGTGATCCTTGGGAAAGCAGCACCATCCGAGACCGACCAGGGTGGAAATACTACCTCCTGCCCGGGGGGACGAATCTGTGACTTGGAAGCAGCAGGGGGTTGACCCTCAGCCCCAGCCATACCGGAGCCAAGACTTCGTCTTCCTCCCGAGTCCCTTTCTCTGTCCGCCTGCTTCTCCTCCTGATTCCCCAGCAACTACACGATGTCTGTGTCGGACGGTAACGTGAAGCGCTGGTTACGTCCAAGGCTCACGTGGCATCACTCAGGGTCGTGGCCAGCAGTGTCGGGGAGCTCGGAATGGCCCTTGGCGGGCAGTTAGGAAGATGTGTTCGACGTCGGGACTCAAGCAAAATGCTCCTTCGGGACTCATCCCTTCTTACCTGGCTGCCCCCTGTGCCATGGGAGCTGCCTTTGTTTTATTTCTTTTTGAAAGAGAGAGAGAGAGAGAGAGAACAAGCAGGGAGGGGCAGAGAGAGAAGGAGAATCAGAAGCAGCTCCAGGCTCCGAGCTGTCAGCATGGAGCCCGACGCGGGGCCGGAACTCACGAACCGCGAGACCATGACCTGAGCCGAAGTTGGACGCTTCACTGACCGAGCCACCCAGGCGCCCCCAGAGGTGTCCTTAGATGACTTTGCACAACCTCCTAACCTCACGTTATGAGATGAGTTTCGTCCCATTTCCACACCCATGTTGGGTGGAGGTCTAACCCGAGTGCCTCAGACTGGGGGCCCTATTTGGAAATAAGACGGAATTCTCCTACTTGCAGTTGTCAGGAGCTAAGAGGAGATCGTAGTGGACTAGGGTGGGCCCTGATCCAACGTGCCTGGTATCCTTATTGTTGCAGCCACACGACTCCTGAAACAGAATGCTACGGGCACCAGTGACAGTCACAACAAAGTGTACTGCAATGAGAGGCAAGGCAGACCGATTGGGACCACCACTCTTGATCAGAGTGCGGCCTCGAACAGCCGGGGTCCAGGGTTTTTAAGGCCGATCACATCGTTTTATCATCACCTGGGAACAGAACGGAGAAAGAGTTCCCAGATGAGTTAGAAACAGTTGCCGGATGAGGGGATTCTTTTAGACTTTCTGCCCCTAAGTTGCAACCAGTGGATCTCCTTGACCCTGACTCTGATGCTCTTTTCTTTGAGCTTTTGTTTCCTTCATTGGTGAAGCCTGATTTACAGTACAGAGCGTAATTTACAAGGGTAAAGCAAGGCTGTTATCTTGCTAAGTGTCAGAACAAAGCTGTTATCTTTTAAGCTACACGTTAGCTACAATTCAACCCTTACATTTCCCCCTTTTCTTGTCAGTGAATCAATCCCTTGATTCCTCACTAGGAACTAAGGGGACGTAGTTGGACCTCATCATCATAATTTTTATTTCACCAACTCGCCTCTTGACATACTAACCAATTGATAATGTGCGGGCCGACAGTTAACCCGAGAAGTAACAATAGCAGTGGCCCAGCTATAGGGGTGAGCAGTGACGTGAGCCAGAGGGACCAAGAAAATAAAATAAACTCTGATGCCAATTATCGCTGGCCTTTTCCTTCACATCCGACCTTTCCATTTGCAGGGCAACTGTATAACCCCGGTATGTCGGCCAATTTTTGTTCTTGATCCCTGTGTCCACATCCATAGGTAACCATACAGGGGTTTTCGGGGACCGGAGCAGCGAAGCCCGTTGGCTGTTTATAATTAGTAACTAAAGTCCCCCATGAGTCCCCCACCAAGTCGCATAAATCAAACAAAAAACAAGGCACAGTGGAAGAGGTATTAGATGCTATCACCTTCCCCGTGACAGTGTCCCTGAGTTCCCATTGGCATGGCCAAAAAGACAGGGGAGGTAATTCCATACAACCCCCCCGCTTACCATTATACAAACCCAGACAATCATTATTATTATTATGCCTGCATCAGTCTTAGCTTCAAAGGATCCTCTGGGTGCCTCGGGACCTTCCATTGCTGTTCGTTCTCTGCTTCCCTATCAGTCTGGGGTGTTCCCGCCTTCACACAGTTTTTCTTAACCTGAGAGTGATGAATCTAGGTTTGGACACCATCCACCTTCACGGCCGTGGACGTGGTCAGGATCACGGTGTGCGTGCGGTCCTTTCCGGCGCGGCTCCAGGGTTTTAGGCTCGTGCCCCTTGACCCAGACCAAGTCTCCTGGTTGAAAGGGGTGGAGAAGAACAGGAGGATGAGCGAAGGCCCTGGTTATTTCCTTTTGTACATGTTGCAGGGCCACGAGTGAGGCCAGCAAGCGGTCCTGTTCCAACTGTTCCGTTACGTCGTCTCCTAGCCTCGGCAGGATAGGTGGAGGTCTGCCAAATAAAATTTCATAAGGGGAAAATCCCTTGACAGATGGAGTACAACGCGCTGGCAAAAGGGCAGAAGGCAGGACATCGACCCAATTTTCGCCCGTCTCCAGGGACAATTTGGTTAAGGTTCTTTTTTAGGGTCTGATTTATCCTTTCTACTTGACCCGAGCTCTGGGGTCTATAAGAGCTCTTAACCCTTACTTACACTTATAACAAGGGGAAATTTGAAAACAATGAAATCTCGCCATTTGCAACAACGTGGATGGATCCGGAGGGAAAATGCTCAGTGAAGTAAGTCCGTCAGGGAAGGACACGTACCGTAAGATCTCACTCACTTGTGGCATTTGAGAAACAAAAGAAACGAACAGGGAAAAAGAGAGACAAAATCTCTTATCTAGAGAACAAACACGTGGTCTCCCCAGGGAAGGTGGGTGGGGGCACGGACCAACGGAGGCGAAGGGGATAGTGGTGAGCGCTGGGTGGCGTGGAGAACTGGCCAACCACTCTACCGAATATAATATAACCTGCAAGCTAACATAACCCTGCAAGTTAACTATACCAGAACGAAAACGTAATGAAACATAACACGTAAGAGGGAAACTTGGACACAGGCATGCACAGCGGGAGAACGACCAAGGCAGCCGGGGTGATGCCTCCAGAAGCCGAGGAACGCCCAGGTCTGCCGCACCCACAGGCGGCTGGGAGAGGGCCTGGAACAGGGCCTCCGCCACAGGCTCCGAGGGAAACCGCCCTGGGCGTCTTGATCTTGGACTCGGGCTTCCGGGATGGGAGAGAATGGATTTCCACCGTTTGAACCTGCCCGCGTGGGGCGGCCCCGCGAAGGCTGGCTGGGTCCCTCCCTGGGGCCCCCTGGTCACTCTGCACGGTAGGGACGACTTCTTTATAAGGAAAAGGAATCCGAGGCACTGCCCACCTCGCCACCGGGCGGGGTAGTCCGGGCGCAGGGCCAGGCGGCCGAGCCTGCCCCCACCTTCGCCCCTGGGAAAGCGGCTACGTGACGCCTGCGGGCGGGGCGGGGCTTCCCGTCAGGTGACGTCCGCCTGCCCCTTCCGTCATCCGACCGCCTCTAGTCGGCTTCGGAGCGCGGGGCTCCGTTCAGTTCCTGAGCGTGGAGCCGACGGGATGGCGGTGGGACGGAGCGTCCCGTGGCTGTGCGCCCTCCTGCTGCTGCTCGCGGCCTGGGTGAGTAGGGCCCGGCGGCGGGGAGAAGCCGGGGGAGGCGTCGGGGGGCGGTTGACTTGCCCCCGGCGCGGAGAAAGGTCGGGAGGGGTCCGGAGGCGCGGGCGTGCCCCGGCGCGGATGGGGAGGCACGGGGAAGGGTCGGGGAAGAGTGCGGAGGCGCGGGCATGCCCGGGCATGGGCATCCTCGGGAGCGGACGCGGAGGCGAGCGCTCAGATGGAGGGGGGGGGGGGGGGGAGCGGGGCGGAGCGGGGCGGCCGGGGGGGGGGGGGGGGCTCGCCGGGGGGGGGGGGGGGAGGGGTGAC